GGTATTAGGAGTCCATGATGAAGGGTATGGGTAGCATTAATGAGCTTCTATTGTCCAGGCGGACGGGGAAGCGCGCTGGCAGCGTTAATGAAGTCCCATTGTCCGGGCGGGCTTGGACACGTCCCGGTAGCATTAATGAGGTTCTAATGTCCGGGTGGACGTTAGACAGATGCGGGAAGGCAGTGCGTTATCATCGTTCGGGCCATACACGCATGTACAAGATGCGGGTCAGTGCGGCTGCCGTTTTATGGGTTTTATCCGGAGGCATTGTCAAGGCTGGATCACCCGGCTCAATGAAAGGTTTCCGGAAGACGTAAACAGCCCATCTCTTTGTACACGATGATCAATTTCTTATCAGGCAGCTGGCTAGGGCTTTAGTGGAAGATAGAGACGGTCAGAGGTTCTAGCTAAAGTTTATTAACGAGAGCGTATCATGTACCACGTTATTAAGGTACGAGATTTAGGGTGAAGGGACAGTTTTGCTTAATGATAATGTAGACGCTGAGCCAATTGACTGATTAACTAAACTATAGAGGAGGTTTCTGAGATTTGCTGTAACAATAAACTACTATATCAAACGCTGAACCGCCCGTTGATCACTCGAGGAATTCAGTCGAGTTCCGGTTGGTTTTAGGCACCTCGTGTCGGTTCATCCTTTCCCCTACTTGTACTCGCACCATGCGTTTCGACCCTTCCACCCGCCTCTCGTCACACCCTACCCGCAACCGCCTCCCACCTGACCACCCGCCTCTCGCCACGACCTACCCGCATCCGCCTCACCCCGAGGCCTCACTGCCTCCCGCCTAAAACCGCCTCAGATGGGGGTCGCACAGCTCCACTTTAACTACTGGCATGCTTAACTAATTGTAAAATGACGAAGCGTATGTACAACACGACCGACTAACGACTTGATTTCGAGTCTATTGCCCAGTGAGAAATTGTACACGATAGACTTCATCACCCAACCGTGACCGTTTTCTTTATGTTACCCACCATCCCCAAACCAGGCTGAAGTAGGTAACTTCATTTCCCTGTTCGTGTTTTCATGGAAGTTTCACAGCTATAGCTATCCGTTTAAACCTTATTGCATACAAAATTTTCACTTGACATGGACCACTTTGAAGTGTGGGAAAAGGCTGAAAGAGAGGAATTATCAACCATACAGCTGCCTACTTTAGCCTGGTTTGGGGATGATGGGTCACAAATATTCGTGTTTGTTCTGAGAGCTGTTCTGGAGGCATGCACATACTAAATCCCATGCCTTAGGTAGGCCTACGTGGATATGCATCACGTAGCTTCAGCAATGAGTTAAGAACTGACAGCCAAAAAAGAATGTTGTTTGAATACAACTTATGAAGTTTGGCTTTTCAAGTTTGATCCGTCATCTATTAAATGAGACTCATATTTGTTTAAATTTATTGTCAAGTAAATTTTTATTGTAAATATGATATTGTTAAAGAGAGTAAACTTTTACAAAAAACAATCTTAGGAGAGAGAAATACAACAATAGACACAGGCACTGAAATAAACCTCATCAAAAGAAGAAATGCGATATTTGATAATAACGTTCATGGTGACTGAGGTGATGCCTGTTTTAAGACCTTTGGATCTGTGTCGGGAATCTTGTCCTGCCGGCGGATGTGGAGGAGTTGCGGAGGCAGCAAAGATAGAAGTGCTGCAACCGTCATTCATGCCGTCGGTCGAGGGGCCAAGTTTCGCAAACGTAAAGGAGGGTGGTGAGCACAACTTCACGATAGACTTTTATCTTTGTGACAGGCGTGATTACTCTCCTCTCCCAGACTGTCTTTCTGAGCCTCCCAAAGGCACGTCTTGCTTTGGAGATGCGGTTACTGCCCTCACCATGGACGTTGGCGAAGCGAGAGAGTATGCTTCTCAGGTAGGTGAAATTGTCAGCAACCTGGAGTTTCTGTCCCTTCACTGTGATGGTACTGCTTGCTAGGAGCAGGCTGAAACATCACTTCTGTCTTCTTTGTGTCAATTATAAGACCAACATTGTCATAGACAGATGAGAAGCTGTCCAACTTCAGTTGCATTTCGTGCGCAGTTTTCAACAAATTTATAGGAGGTCCCTAATCAAGTCTCCTTTACCTTCGTGACAGCCTGCAGGCGCTTTTATAAGGTTGAACATCTTGCCACCTAACCTGTACTTGATGTGGATACCAGGGTTGCTGTCCTTGAAGGCGTCTGTCAGCACTGCCGAGAACACCATGCTGAACAGTGTAGGGGGAAGAACACGCCCCTTCTTGACTCCGTTTGTCACAGGCAAATCATTGGATGTTTCACCGTTGTCCAGCACACGGGCCATCATGCCATCGTGAGAATTGGAGGACAATCGCAATGAGCTTGCGAGGGCATCCGAACTTTCCCAAGATTTTCCAGAGCCCCTTTTGCTGACTATGTCGGAGGCTTTCGTCAGGTCAATAAAGGTGATGATACACAAGTTTTGATGCTACTCCACGCTCTTCTCCTGGAGTTGGCAGGCGGCCAACACCATGTCTGTGGTCCCACGGCCTGCGTGGAAGTCACACTGGCCCTGTGGGAGGTGACCTAGCCCCAAGTGCAGGAGACGTAATAATATTCCATTACGTTCAAATACTGTTTATGTCAGAACAGAAAGCCAATCACACTTCGGTTTTTTTTGCCCGAGTCAACTCAACTCGAGTCAAAAAAATTGTGACTCGCCACAACTCTATATATCTAGTTTTTCAAACACACGAGCAACAAACAGACGGGCCTTATTCCAGTGAGCCTGTTGAATGGGATTCACGGCTTAACGAACTACATCAGTGCAGTGGCGAATCCAGACAAGGACTATGCCCTCTCCAGTCCCATCTCCACCCCTAAAGAAGCAAAAAATATCAGGCGAGGGTTATTTCGGGACTCTTTCATTTTCCTTAATACTCCCCAAATCGTGTCGAAGATCCCACTATTTTTCCCACGCTTCAGAATGACTACAGAGGTTATATCACATTCCTAAATTTAGATTTTAAGCAAAAAAGAATAAGCTGAACCAAACTTTTCGTTAAGATCCACCCTTGCAAGGTGTTCAGAACAACCAACAACCTCTGATTCACAGCTATAGCACAACGAAATTACCAGTAGAATTATCAGCGCAAACCGCCAGGAGTGGACACGAAAATGATACAGGAACACACGTCATTATATCCTTTTTTTTTAAATATTGCATTAACATAATACTGGCCGTCGACATAATACTGTACATCGAGTACAGTTCAGGGCTGTCTCATGTCAGCATCTGCCCGAGGGTACATGTCATCCAGCACGCTGCAGCCCCACGGACGTTTCACATTATATGGACCTTGTCCGCATTCAGAGATTTCCGCATCCCCACCTTGTCCTCATGTTGGACTTGCATCTCCCTACTCCGGTCAGACAGCATCCAGTCACCCAACAAAGGTCTTGATGTTGATGATGGATCTTGTTCGTTCAGTAGAAACTAGACAAACTTAGCATCCAATATAAGAGCCATGTTACGAGTGAGACTACTGATCCACTTCCTAAAGTTCATGCCAGAAACCTTCTTCCTATACCACCACCTCTACTCCACATGTAACCCGATGACATCTTCAAACTACTCAATATCTTAACTCCATATAAGGGTCTTGGGTCAGATGGGGTTCATCCTGAATACATGTTCTTCAGAAATCATTCCTATGTTCACCATTATACTCAACCAATATTCAACCAAGCCTTCTCGCCGGTCTCTTAAATGGCTTGTCAGTGCTCATTTTTAAGAAGGGATGGGGCAGTCTTGATTTCTGGATCCAGGCCCGACTCCTAATTAATTTAGTCTGTTTTAGGATCACTGAGTATATTACTTATCGCCATATCATGAGACTCCTTGACCACTGCCACGCCCTGAATGAATTCCAAGATGGTTTCAGTCTTTCGGAGCACTGACGCCATGGAAATCCAAACTTGTGACAACAGTTCACCGCATTTGGGAATCGACTGAGTCAGTAAAACATGTTAATATCATAGTACTAGATTTTGCTTAGTCGTTTGACACAAGCTCAAATATTTAGATACTGAAGGCCCATTACACAACTACGTATATCTCGTCCTGTTCAAATCCAATGCTCATATCGATACAACAGTTTCTAAGGCAAATTGTATGACTAGTTTTCTTCGCCATAACCTGGGTAATACCCCTCGGAGGGTGAGGACAAACAGGCTTACAAGAGTCAGTGTGCATGGGAACCCTCCCCCCACCAAACACAACGTAAAAAGAGTGGAGGTAGTCCACGGAATAGCAGCTCGCTTCATCACGAACAACTATGGTCGAGAAAGCTACAGTCTTGCTTAAAGAACTTCAACTTCCAGTACTTCATCAGAAACGCCAGTACAAGTGTATTAGTCATACTATAAAAAATTGTTCAGAGTAATGGAGATCTGCACCTTGAAAACCATTTCAGGCTCCATACATGAACGATTGACACGCGAAAAACAAAATTGCACACCCCCCGTCATTAATAATGTCCTCAACAAGTACCGACTGCTTCCAGCAATCATTTTCTGTTAAAACTGCCAGATACTAGAATCAATTTCCATATAACACCATTTCAATTCAATTTCTTTTTAGAAAACTAGAGAAAATGACTCTCTCCGTTGACCTCTGACCTAAACTGAGTGACGTTCCAGTTGGAGCTGTTCATATCTAGATCCCATATCAATCTGAAGGTGCATCCGTAAGCCCCATACCGTTCAGCTTCGCCAAGCAAAACTTCAAATCCTGCCGACACTACAGTATGTGCTGCTACATGTAAGCAGGGAAGGAAAGAATGTAATAGGCGACAAACTTTTACTGGTTACATATAAACTGTACTGAAGGTTATACATATACATTTTAAAATGCACTCTGTAATGAGGATGCTTCTGCTTTTCAAATTGTATTGGGTAAAGTTGCTTATTATGACTGACCGTTCGTCATTAGGGTACGATAGTGAAACAAAGAAACCTGGAGGGACAAGTTCTTGTTTTATTTCATCATGAATGAAATTTAATTGAATCTCATCTCAAAACTTACTACGCACAGTGAAGCTGATAGAGCAAAATTCATTAACAGTTCATAAGAAGGTTACATGTATATTTAACACAAACTCAATTACTGTTTGCAGCAGTACAGATTGTCTGCCAAATGCCTGCCCTCAGCTTCTTCAACTTGATCTCAACTTCTAAGACTACAAATTTTCTCAGACGTTTTGGCTGATGACGGTCTTAAAGAATTAGAGATGCAACCTGTCAATCCTTTAGACCAAACTGCCTAATGTTTTCTACCCTCTTCCATGCCATGGCTTTTTCAAATGCAATCGTTTGATGCTGAAAATTGCTACATGTCAATGGCCCCCTTCATCCTTACCTCTCAAAGACACTTTTGCTGGGAACTATTCTAAACCCTCAAAAATCCATCACGGTGCAAAAGCCAGTTACAGTTCTTCCAGCTTTACCTTTCACACATTGTCAAGCTATATCTAACAAAATGACCGGAGGCTACATGTACCTCCTTATTCCAAGGAAATCCTACTAAATCTCTACATGCATTCTCATAGACCTGGGAGATGAGAGGTAAGAATTGATGTGGACCAACACATATTTAATTGAAGATTATACAACACAGGCATACAATTAAGAGCTTCACATCACAAAGAGAATAATTATTAGCTTATTACAAATAAAAAGTTGCTCAAATGGAATCATCCCACCATCACTCTCTTTCTGCCTCGCTGTCTGACCTCATCCAGTTTCTTTATCACCTCCTCCGACCTCTTATAGGACTCTCTGTAGGCCTGCAGCACCCGACTGAAGACCTCCTCTGTGTTTGGGTGTGTGCTCAAGAAGGCTCTCTCTAAGACATACAGGTCAACTCCTTTGTCCTCTGCCAGTGCTGAAATGTGACTCAGTCCAAAGTCGATCAAGACGACAGCCCTAGGATGGTATTTGGAATCTGTTGCCTGTTGCCGAATTAACATGTTGGATGTTGTCAGATCACCGTGGATGACGTCACTCTTGTGCATTGTCGCCAATATTTTGCCGATCGCCTCTGCAAGCTGAAAGAGTTCATCCAACGAATCGGCCCTGCTCTGGATGGCTTCTATGTTCTCCCTAACGGTGATGGAGTTGACTATGTCCTCCATGTAGATAGAAAATTCAACATAGTTCACAAAATAGACAGTCGGTGTTGAAATTCCTTTCAGGGAAAAAAAGAACGTATGACAGTTAATGACAAGGACTTGCCTGAGAAATCTAATGTCACTCTCGGCTACAGGGCAAGAACCTCAAAAACACTGAGAACACTAATTGTCTACATGACCTCAACAAGAATTATATTTCAGAGAAACATTTGTGACCATCGAACTACATATAAATATATCCCTATGGTACAGACACACTTCTAAATTTTATTTTTTTTTATTGTCTGACTCCCTCCCAACAGTCGTTATATATATATATTATATACTGAAACAGTGGAAAGAAGGTAATGGCAAGTTTTCAATCAATTTATGATCTTGTTCCATTTCAACATAATGTGCAACTGCCAATACACTGTACTGATAAGAATTTGACATTTCCAGCAATGTCATTTCCACAGTGACTCCTTACTCCTTCAACTGTGTAAAACGGTAGATTTATCAAGGATGTAATGATAATTTTGGACTGATACATTGTGAGAAGTTAATTAAGAAAAAATCAACAAAAATCTACAGGTAGAATGAAAATGTAGAAGTGTCCTAAGAGCATTGGAACAGTTGATTGATTTGAAAGAATTGTGTATTCTGTATCACAGAGCCAGACTATCCTAGTTTCGAGTGCCATTAACACCAATTCATTCACAAAAACCTTAGACAGGTTAGCCATTTCAATTGATTAAGAGCCTGTCACCTGGATGCTCTTGTTTGGTTGATAAAGCATGATCTGGTTGTGCGCCACTGATGATGCCAATCTCAATATAAGATTGTCTTATAGTAATTTATATAACGGGCTTTGCCCTAACCCAATGTATATTAGTAAGCACTGTATGCTCAGTGCTTGTCAGAGAGCTTGCAAAAAACCTCACAAGCTTACTCGTGTGGGACTCGAACCCACGACCTCCTGCTTACTAGTGCAGATGTCTTAACTACTCGACCACCGAGTTTGCCGGGGTCGGCTGGCCTGTCCGAATCAAGTGAAGCAGCGGGTACTACGAACTATTTTCAAGATGTATTTTTATATTTGTTTGCATTGGGGAAATGTTAATTTATATGACAATGTTTTATAGTAATTGCAAGAGGCAAATAACATGGCAGTAAACGGTTGTTTCAAAAATGGAGTAAAACAATTGATCAAAATCGTTGGAAATTGATAATTTTAAACCTTTTTTGACTACCTGACACAAAATGTATTTATCACAAGGAATTAATATGTACATGTTGCCAGTCTCAGACATTCATTTAAGACCAGTTCCAAAGAACAGACGAGATGTACATGTAGGCAAGAGACATTATTCAATCATCCCTCTCCTGAAAGGTACTGAACACACATTTGACCAGCCAAGCACATACTTACTGTCTCATAGAAAAAGTTAAGAAAAAGGGCTTTGTCGTGATAATTTCAACCAGAAACATGTCATGAGTAAAGGGGGTTCAGTATGTCAGGTACGTACCTTGGGGGAACAGCTTAAAAAATACAGCTTTGTAGGATAAACTTCTTAGTAATGTTTATAACAATCGAACATTGTGAAATCAGTGCTGGTCAAATACAGGATGGAAACATGGGATACCCCAGGATGGAAATGGAATGTAATGTAGAAAGAGTACCATACACGGACATCACTTGACACTGCGCACAAACCTATATGAGATTGTTTGAAAACAAAATTAAATTTTTCTTTGTAAAGAGTCGATATTTTCTCTGCTATAGGGGGGCCTATACTATTTACTAGCCTAGGCCTAATACGATTTTTTTTACTAAAAATACCAGGCATGACGAAGGCATATTCCTGATGGCTGATATGTCACTGCATGAAAAACTTAGTGATGTCTATGTATGGAACTCTTACCAGTGATCCAGTAATACATTTAGGCTTGAGATTAAGACTAAATAGTCGGGTGGCGGGCTCAACGCCATCGAACAGACCTGCTTTCCTGCACCGCACAAGAGAGCGTACTTCTTGGGCCGTTCGCTTTTGGGTCAGTTTCTCATCCAAAGCTGGATGGCGATATTTCTTTTTAAATCGCTGCTTTACCACGCAGGATCTCCCTAAAAATTTCCCTCGAAACACTTTGGCTTCAGCGCCTTGCTTGATGAGTTGGGCATCAGGAAGCGCGGAGAAATGAGGGTCTGCCTTGAACACGAGCTCTTGATGATGTTGCCCTGTGGACGCCATTTTCGAAATAACACAACCATGTGTTCCTTGACCTTAGTCGGTAGAAACCATTTGTATGAAGGGGCTTGATTATTATCATAATGGCCTTTAACACAGAGACAGTTCAATGGAAATAACCTTAATTTTCTTTAATATACAATAAAAAAATTTCAGACTTCGTTTCGAAAAGTAAGAATAAGAGCAGAGCTGCCTGTCAAAACATCTAGTTATCAGAACCGCTTCGCTGCTGAAATGTGTACCATGTGCGTACAATGGAATTTTGTATCGAATGCCTTCAAGGTCATTTCGGGTCGTTCAGGCCAGGTCATCACGATATCGGAGCGGAGATAGTGTACGCAATGATATCGTCGCGTTCATGTCATCAGGCCAAGACTCAGCACTCGAGAGTGTGGTACTTGGTAGTGGCACTGGTAGGTTAGTGTTTTTGTCTCTGTATTTTCCTTTCTTCGTGCTATGTGGGGGATTGTCTGTGTCATTTCCTAGGAATTTCATGTTCTAACTGGCTTTCAGAGGTTGGAAATCGTGGTCTTTCCCAACCTCCATGGTCTGATGTGACGTGATGGAAGGGCCTGTCGTCCAGATCGTCTCGCTCGGCCTGGCCCTAACCCCACTGGCACTGGCTCCCGCTCCATGGGAGCGACGGTCCGTGCCACACTAGTTGGGCTAGTCTACCCCAACTGTGGGGACCGATGTCCGCCCGGATCGTGACGATGGGAGCGGGGCGGACGTCAGACCCCACGGTCCGGTTCTGGGGTAGCCCCACTAGTGTGGCACGGACTAGGATGGATCGGGAGTGAGAGTCCGTGCCACACTAGTGGGGCTAGTTCTGGGAGTACGGTACAGATCGTCTGCTTATTCAACATGATTAGACTGTAGAGTCCCCTTAATTGGCGCACTTCGTCTTTCACCTGACTTTCTTGCAGTGTTGCCAAACCTCTTGTTTAAGTTGCTGGAGAAACTTCAAATTCATTCGGTTAAATACTGGTCACGACTGGCAGTTTACATGTACTGTATTCCCTAAAGGTGTACCTTACATGGTGATGTCTCCTTTCATGTCCAGAAAGATTGTGCTTGTGAAAAGGACAGGGCTTTGCTGTTGAACTTTTGTGCACAATTTCGGTGCCGTAAAATTTTGTCAGAAATTCAAAACAACGACGTCCGGAAGTTGTGCAAGAAAAATCAAAAAATCTCATATAAACATTTGAAATTATATTAAGTTGATAAATTCCAATAAATTATTATTATCTCCACTTATGCTTAACTACAAGTTTGTGAACAATTATTTCATATTTTGGGGCACATTATAAAAAGATTTCCTTTTGCATGGGCAAAAAATTGGAAACTTGCACCAAAATAAATTTTCCTTGGAACTTAATTTGTAGCGGGTGAATGAAATAAAGAGAGAATTCAATCAGAATATTGGGACTTTGATGTAATTTCATTTATAATGAAATCTGACATTTATAGAAAATATTGCTCCCGGCAAGGCACTTGTGGGGAAAAGTTGAAGTGCAGCACATTAGGGACTGCACCTTGTTAGGGTACATCAACAATTGAAAGCATGCTCAAAGCTATTGCAAGTGTTCAGCACAAACTTGAATCTTACACTAATTTATGTTTCTCCATCCTGAGTTAATTTGCCTTTGAATGAAATCCATTCTTGCGATTATACTCAGGAGGGAGTACAATAAATTTGCGTGTGTCAAGATTGCCCTGAACACGTGCAATCAATTACAGTATCTGATAGCCTGTTCCCAACAGCAACATCATGGCCCTACTTTAACAGTGAGTAGATAGTATCTGTATAGCAAAAATTTTGCTGACTGTAAGCACTATTTCATGGTAGTGCTTGGCTTGCTTTAGCTTACGGTGGTGCGCTCATAGAGATTTCCATTGCTACATGTAAGTCACTTTTTAATGTTAATACAGATTTTTCCTTTGGAGGTTAGTAAATTAGTGTGCCGTTTCTGTGCTTACTGCTCATGGTCTCTATGAAATATGCGCAAAATTGTGACTTAGCAGTGTCATAGAATTGGGCCCATGCTATAGCTAGAGAGAACTTACGTGTAGTATGGAGTTTGTTTGCTCTCCAAAATGTTTCAGAGGGCAAAGCATACGACATACTGAACCCCTCACTTTCTAGAGGTATGTATTTGCTGTATCTAAGGTTGGAAAGATGCTTTCACAGTGTTACTCACCTTGCATAAACGGTAACTTGCCAAAGAAATTGGGTGAAATCAAATGGTAGAGTTGTAAGGAATTGAGGATTACCCATTAAAGGGTTGAAAAATTACTCTTTTTACTTTCCAACAACATTTATCAGTGGTGTACCAAGTATGAGAAGTCCCTTGTGGGCTTTAGGAGAAAAAACAAAGGTAGTGGCTGTACATGTAGTTATGGTACATGTAGCTGTCAGTGGCTAGGCATAAAGTGACTTTCCAAATTCTATCCGGTTCGTAAGTGTGATGTCACTTCAGTTTAAACCACGCCCACTACACACGTGCACTGCACATAGGGTTACATGCATTGTTGGCCTTTACGTGGAACCGCAAGGTAAACTTCAGTGATTGTCCAATGAGAGCCTGCAAATCGTAGCAGGTCCGCCTATGTGACGAAGTCACTTACGAACCGGATAGTAACATGCATTGTACAACAAGCTGAGCTGTCAAGCTGCACTGCTGTAACTCAGTGATATCCTTGCTGCTCAGTAGCATGTGGTCCTAGTGATAGTCATCAGTTTTGGATGGATTTGCGCAGCAGGGTTCACTTAGCACACAGTAAGTTGTGCTCTGGTAATTTATTACAGCTCTGTAGTGCCACCGAACCATACATGTACTTTTATGGAAAAAAAAGGCAACGAGTAGGGTGTCCACCATTCAACTTCAAACTTGTAATTACAGGGACAGAATGACATCAACTATTTTCTTCCTCCTCTCAGATTTATCGAGTGTAGAAATTGGCGTCCAAAGTAAGAGCTGGCCTCTCGCTGTGTGATCGGAAAGCAGAATTTCTTCAGCAATGGCCCTTACTCTGTACCATCATCCGGGGTCCTTCTTTTCACAAAGGGTAAAGTGCATCGAGATACCGGTCTCTTTTCCTGTTTTTCTTTTGGTTTACCAGAGTTTCTTTTTGGAGGAAGAATAAGAACAATCCTTGTCAGCATGTTTACTTTTCATGACTCAATTTTTGCGGGTTAATGAATGCCTGAGACTGTTGACGGATGTTTTGGCTTTACAGTATTGGCTTTCGTTGGACAAACATCATGGGATGCAGTTTGATGGATCATCTTGTTACCTCTAAACTTTGTCCCTCGTCCCAACTCTGTCAAGTGCCTGCTCAGGGTAGGCTTGACTGTGTCGACCCAGTTGCACAGAATCAAGTATATATACCACCTCACCCACTGATTCTCAGTCTTGATTGGCCAAGAGCTAGTCACATGACATTTGTCATTTGTTGCCATTGGGCTTTTCATATCCGAATGAGCTAAACCAGCAACCAAAGTACTACACCTGTGGCAACCCAAGAAGTATACGCATGACCACAGCATTGTGTACAAACACACACTGCTTTGCGTATTGCGTACATTCCAAAGTACTAGCACTACAGGGCTGGGTTCAAATATTTCATAAAGAGATATTTTGGAAAGGTGCTTTTCTTTGCATTTCTTATTCAAAAAGATGCACATTTTATGTGTGTTTGAATCATATTAATCATTTATTGCTTAGCTTAATCCGAATCTGTGAGAGAGATACGATAGAACGTATTGACTGCTTTATCTTGTGGTGAAGTAAAACAAGCCTCTCTCAGTTAGCACACGGGGGGGGGGGTTCTAGCCTGGCATTCAAAAGCATAATTGGGTAATTACACTGTGCATAAATGCCAACACACTGTCAATTCCTTGATATGCAATTGATAAGCTTCTATTGTCTAGGGAAGAGTTGCTGATTTTAAGTTTAAGCTTGGAGGAATATTGGAATCAGAAAATTGAAAAATTTCTTTGAAACACACCGATGAACAGTTACCAAAATATTGGCAAAATGAACTGAAATTGAACGAAACTTCCACAACGTGACATGTGTTTTTTTACACTAAAGAGATATAAAACATTACTTTTAAATCAAGCATGTTCTTCTTGAGCCCACAATTCAACAAGTGTAAAGCAGTTCATGTAATTCTTGCGCACATTTTAAAATACGAAATTCTAGACTAATCCAGATACCAGAATTAGAAGTCATTACTACAGGGCCGTCCTGTGTACATGCAGGTGGTACGCATACATTACGTTTCTCTCAGACCAATAGGGTGTTGTGACTTGCCACAATGTGCTCACATGCTCAAGTTCAAACCCGTTCATATGTGTGATGGTTCTGAAATAGGTTGAAGATGTGAAAATATGCTCCTAACTTCAGACAATCACACCGTAAAGTGACAAACAACACCACACATGTACACTTGTATGTCGCAGACTGACGGTAACAGCCCGATTGGTATACAATTACATGTACATGTACCTTTGATGTCGTGCTCAAACTTTGTGCTGAAATCGCAGGTGAGATTTGCGTTTGCCGAGAAGAATGTCAAGTACAGGAGCGTGGAGGTTGAGCTCCATGCAGAGGAAAACTTGGAGCCCTGGTATGTGCGCATTAACCCCCTCATGACCATCCCAGGGCTGGCAGTGGAGGGAGGCACCAAGTTCATCGATTCGGAAGCCATCATTGGGTTCACCGACCAGATTACCCCCAATCGTGAGTGGTTTTGTTTTTTGAAGTTGATTCGTGTTGTTGCTGGTTTTAGGATCTGATTGAGAGTGAACCTTTAAGTCATGGCGTGTGTGGCACCCTGGATTCTGGCAAAACAAAATGGGGAAAAAAAGGACCAGAGACAAGGGTAAAGAGGTGACAAGAAAGTAGGCCAGTGTGCAAGTGGCGAAGCAACAAGAACCTTTGTTTTTTCTGTACCTTTTTGCCGATAAATTCTCACACATAAAGTACAATGTAGATAGTGACTAATGAAAAAGCATTCTTCCTTAACCTGTATTATCAGATCACCTCCACAGAAAAGTTTGCCCAAACTTTCATTGCTCAGAGTTGAAATGGAGTTAACACAAGTCAGTTGCACCAGTCAACAAGTCAGTTGACAAGTCAGTCCAATTACGACCACGCCCTCCGTAAGACTGCTACCAAATCGGATTTGACTCTGCTTTCTTGGTGTACATACATGCACTCGTCTTGATATATATTGCATCACATCTCTTGGCAGTTCCACTGCTGTTCCTCGACGAGAAATCTCCCGAAGGCCAGAAATGCCACCGCTTCCTTCAACTCTTCAAGACGTTTGACGTACAAGTGATTTCCATCGGAACACTCATCAACCCAAAGTTCACCAAGGGATTCAAGCACCACCGGAGGGCTGCCACATTTGAGAGTATGTTGCACTTCATTGAATTTTGCGCCTTGACAGTTATTGTCACTGTAACTCACACAGTGCTCATTATAGACAGCTGAATTCTCATTGGTCCATTCACCATTGTGTTTCATTCGCTATTTTTGCCGTTCACAGTCATTTCAGCTTTGCCAGCAAGCAGGTCAGATATGCAAGCATCTGTTTACTTTGCGTACGCTTTACAAAGCAGTTGTGAAACTGTTACAGGGGTTGCTATGCACATTTTATAGCACTGGATTTGCATGAAAAAAATGGTGGTAAATATGAACTACAGAACCCTTGTCTTTTGTAACCTGGGAAAAAGGCACACTGTGGGGGAACTCTCAACTAGAAACTCTCGCCAAACTAAGGATCTTTGGAGGAAAAAATTGTAGGAAACTGAATTACTAGATATTCAGACACCAATTTTAGATTTCAAAGCAAAAAAGGACCACAGAGCAAATCTAAAGCCACTGGACACCTGTTTCTCTGGTGTGTCCCTCTGCTGTTTTATTTGTCACAAGTGAGACCAGGTTGTCATGTCTGACATGTTGACTATGTCAAGCTGAGCACCCAGCAATGCAACCCAGCGCATACTACATTAATCACTGACTTTAAGTAGACGGGGCTCAAGCAGAAGATCACACATCAGTTAGGAGGAACAAAACATACATCTAGCTACTTTGTCCCTGCTGGTATGCGATACATACCAAGTGTGGCCAAATCATGTGGCCAAATTATACTGGGAAAGGGAAGGCTTAAACACAACAGGGGGACACACTCCCAAGAATAGGAAGGGCGGCTTAAAAAAATGAAACAGATGAATGTCATTTGTCAAAGAGAAGTGCATCAGAAATCTAATTTTGGGCTCAGCCACATTTTGCTGCACTCTGATGCCACATATCTCAAGTGAAATAGAAAACAGGTTGGATTAAGCAAATTGAAACACTGCTGCCCATTGCAGACTTCCAACAGCTTAGGGAGTTAGTACCAGCCATTCACCCCCAGGTCATGTTTATATTTGCATATTGGATGCTGCACAATAGTAGCCCACATGAGTGCATTTACAGGAACTGTTCGATGATGGCCCCCACCCATGTTGGACCTGCCTTGGCACGTGACTGTTAAGCCCAACTGACTGGTGTTGCTATGTAAAAAAGGCCCATGCATTGTAGTTGTGTTTTACCATACCACAGAAAGTGAAGCATTGTGTTTCCTATTAGAACTTAGATTCCTGTTAGGATAGGACTGACCGAAAAATTTAAGACAAAAAGTCTGTTCCTCTTGTGCATCTGTCCTCCATGGTCAAGGTCTGTATGGCTTGTAATGGACTTGTCGGACTTGTGACAGACTTGACTACAGCACCGCCGTATCCGTTGTCATTAGGGTCTTCAAAATGCCACTTTCTGTTGTATCTTGAAATTATTTATAAGTTTATAGACCAATCTGTTTACATGCTATAACTGCAGTGGCACCGCAATCACACTCTTCAGTTTGACGCTCACGTACATTTGACAAATCACGATACCCTATTGGTCTAAGAGGCATGTATAAACACGCGCATACCACCTGTCCACGAGCATTGCGCCACCACAGTAATGGTTTTTAACTCTGGTTGTCAAATTACACTATATAACCCAACTTCACGCTTCCCTGTTTTCAAACTATAGATGCTTTCACTTCCCGCATCAACAAAGCCAAGCGGTACTCTGAGCAGTACAAGGACCTGCGCTACGAGTACCTGAACAAGGCCACCGCCCTCTCCCAAAGACTTCAACAGTTCAAGGACGAGGAAGTCCTCAGGGACAACATCGATGCAGCAGAGAGGGCCCTTACCGAAGTGGAGGCAGAACTAGCAAAGGCGAGCGATGAACATGGAGGTAATGGTGACAGGGCTTACTACAAGGTTGCCTTAGGGCAGATATGGGAATTGATGATGATTCAATCCGGGCGTCACAGTTCCCGTCAGAATCGACTCAACGTTCTCCAGACAAAGAAAAGAAAAGCTTCTCCTCTCTCCCCTAAATACATTTCACTGTCAAAATTCAGCTGCTCATGTTTGTTGCATCAATAGGCATATATACCAAGGACACTGTGCTTTGTTTACATGTACGCTTTCCTACGGAGCTTTGAATCCGTCATTACCAATGGGCGCCCATAGCAAAGTGCACATAAAACCAAAGTGTGACGTCATCGGTACGTACCGGTAAGCTTGTTCACGGAGTGCTTTTTAGAAATGGACCACACAAGTACATGCTTTTTGAGGGGCTCTCATTCTCTATTGAAGTATCATTGAATGCCATAGAATTGTAGCCTTTTGGAATAATAAAGTATCTCGCTCAAGGTTGAGCGTTTCTTCACATTTCGGGTTGACCTATCCAGCCAGAGAGGTCACAAGTGAATGTATCCTTCGGCATACCACTTGTCACAAATTCCATCCTCCAACTAGGAAGTAAAGCGGGTACCTTTTAGGACAATGTGGATAGTTGGATTTGAACTCACTATCAAGCTCAAGTGTAACAGCAAGGTGTTCATATATGTTCCTCAAAGAGTTAGCAGACAAGAGATTTCAAGTTGGTCTGAAATCAGACCTTATGCACCAAAAGAGGTTGTATAAGTCTGCTCAGGATGAAATTTGTCTGCAGAGAGGACAACACGAAGATCTAACTCTTTTCTGATTTCAGGTGTTTAATAAACTTGTCGCTGGCATCTCTTAGAAAGGTTTTATGGGCCCAATGAGCATTGTAATAATGATGTTGTGCCTTGGGTAACAGTGAGCAATATCTGTGCTTTCCACGTCACATAATTGTGACTTGGCCTTACAGAATGATTTGCAAGACACCAGATCCACTTCTGAGTTGAGGAATCTCGCAGTGTAAGTCGACAGGTACCCTGACGATTTCTCACCCATATAATGCCAGTTTTCATCAGTATACCAAACTGGAGTGATACATCAAATGAAAGGGCTCATTTTGCTCGAAATATGAATCAAAGCAAACTACACAAGGCTTGTGGCCTCATTTTGTGGGATCTGGTAATAGTTGTTTCCATTGTTCATAATTGTTCCTCTGATCAGATGTCCCATTGGATGAGCAGCCGTGGCTCTGTGGCCAGCAGTTCACTGTGGGCGACATCTACCTCGCCACTCTCCTCCACCGGCTGCTCCTTATCGGCTACTCCCACTTCTGGCTGGGCGGCAAGCTGCCCAACGTGGAGAGGTATTACCAACGCGTCCTGCAGCGGGACAGCTTCCGCAAGAGCTGCCTGTACGCAAATAGCCCTTTCTGGGGATTCATGGCGCCCTTGATCAGATATAAGGTGAAGCAGGCCCTGCCGTGGTTACTGGGAGCTGCGGCTATTGCAATGGGGGCCACGGGCGTGTACATATATTTACGGAAGAAATGATCCCAGTGCTTTGAGATAGTATTTTTTAACTACATTCCACATTGCCTATGTCCAAACCTTTGTACATGTATGTCATGAACAAATAGATAATGATTTACTATGTTCAATGTTATAGTGTAATGCATCGCCAAGCATTTGCTTAGAAAAAAAAAGAAGCCATTCTTCAACTTTTGCCATGATACATTATTGAATATTTGCAGAGAGTATTATTTTTGTCCCAAAAGGAGGACTTTCAAAAAATGTCACTATACATATCAGTCAAGTTTTCAACTTCAGCCAAACACCCTAAAAATAGATTTTTCTCTCTTGGGAGTCCTTCGCACAGTACATGTTGATATATTTGTGTCTGTAATCTCATAATTTGCATTACTCCAAGCTCCTGCTTGGAGCGATACGGTGGATTTTCCCTATCAGGACTGGGCACAGCGATCAACTTCACCAAGAAGTCAGAACATGTAGACTTCCTAGAATTGGCTGCGTGTTTACTAAACAAGTTTGTTTTGACGCCTGTGCACGTTAGCCACTGGAGGCACAGGTAAGAGTTGTTTTAACCCCCAGCTACTGCTGTGAAATACATGTGTGAAAGCAGATCATGATCCAAATTTTGGGAGGGCACAAATTGTCTTTTTAGGGGGCCCAAAAATGTGGTGAATCTATTTTCCATGTAACCTTTTCTGGCCTGTCTGAGGGATTAGGCTATATTTAAGGGCTAAAGCACACTTTTGGAAGAAAGAGCAGTGAAGCAGACCAAAAAATCGCCCTTTATTCTTCCCACTCCGTGTTCCTATTATGTATACTAAAAATAGCCTCTCACCCATCTCTTTGTCAGCAACACGGTCGCTTCTTGTGAATCCGGCACTAGTGCAATGCGTATGCAATATCAGTTCTTTTATGTACTGTAGATGTTGTAGGTTTTCTTTGAGATTTCAGGCTTTGAATGCAAAATCATTGCAGTACCAAAGGCACAAGTTTCCAAATTTTTTTTATATATTCTAAAACCCACGTATGTGGCTTGTCCTTTAACTTGTAATTTGTAAACTACATGGAAGGACGTTCATTACCCCGTGAAGATTTTGCAATGCCTTTATCTGTACATACCTGTTATTGGAAATGGATGGTTACAAAGTAAAATCAGGATTCTCTGTGAATGCCAACATCAGACCCTTGAAGAAGTGTTTGATGTATGAAAATTGTTGGGAGTTTTCCATGGAATTAGGTAGTTTATAACAGCAGGAGTAAGCAATATATTTTCTTCGTGGATTTTAAATGGATTATGAAGCAAATACATTTGTAAAAAGTAGACAAATTCAAATCTAGACAAAATTCACATTTGAACTTGAACATGACACACCATAAGAAACTACCTAGGAACTTGCTCTATTTCCCACTCCGACTGCCCCAGTCACTAAGGAATGTTTTTAATTAAATGTACATTTCTGAAGGTTGACACATTATGATTTTAAAATGTTTTTAAAATTAACATTCAATTGGGTAAATAAATCTTGAATTGATCTTAGCAGATAAAAAACCCATAGAACTGTATTTTTATCATTTCATCTTTTCATTTGATCTTTAAAGTTGTTAAAACTTACATGCATATTTAGGTCTTGACACAAATCCTTAGTAAAAATTTGATACAAAGATTGCAGCCAAAATATGATAAAACAGTACAAGATCTAGGTAAATTGTTAGGAACTGTGCTGAAGTAAAGAAGTTTATTTCATTAGGAGGTGGGAGGTGGTTTCTTCTGGATTTACACACCTGTTTCATGGCCAATTCTGAATTTCTTTGCTTTTCATCAATACTATAAACTCTCCCAGATTCCTCAAACCCACTTGGAGGTTTTGGAGGAGCCAACTGCCTTTATAATTTTACATGGGGCTTGGTGCACCACGAAGGGGGGCATTGTTTCGCTCTCTCTGACGTGATACACTACTACACGAGGCAATTCGTTGATCTTGCAACATTATCTGTTGATCTTTAGTTCAGCCATTGGCCAATCTCATTTTCATTCAAATTAATGGCTGTTGAAAATTGTTTTTAACCGGGAAGTAAAGTCCAAGATTTCCCATACGAACAACCGATTGGGCTAAAATGGACTAAAATTTATGAGCAAAAATGCCAAGAAAGTGGTAAATGCTTAATGAGTCGTCAGCAATGTATTGAACAATAAATAACACTTATCTTTTATGGAAATTTGTAGAGATTTTGAAGGTCACATTTGGTATCTGAATTTTTTCTGCCAGCTTTAGTGCCTTTCTTTTAAAGTTTACATCGTACTGCCTTGTAATTATTGAGCAAATAGCCATCTTAAATTTATTAAACTGCCTTCTACATGTACATTGAATGAATGTATCTGTCTTTTTTCTGGTACACTTCATATCAGGAAATATCCTGACATGCTTATTAATGTCTTTCACTGGCGAGTTGAATAGTCTTCATGCTACGGTCTTTCCCAGTTTCCAGTAAGTGCACAAAGTCATTCAAGCCTGTATCCTATCACAAGTTACTACAATCATGAACCAGGGGAGAGTGTGGTTTGGTACCACAAGTTGTAGGTACAGTGCCAGGATGCAAATGCAATTAGAGTTCCGAGGAGCTTGTGACTCCAAACATGGAAGTAGATTGACGTCATCATGACCATCAGTATCCACAACAACTCAAACAAAGTCATGAGAACTGTGAACAGCTGCTGCAGAAAATTCACTAGCGAGCGGTAACCGATGGTGACATTGGCAACAGGAATTGTGATCATAGTTTGGGCCGATTGACTATTTGAATGGTATGCTGGAGTCTTTGACTTTATGTTGCTGATGATCTGCAGCTCCTCATGGATTAGTAGTGCACTGTATATTAGCAGGAAGCAATGCCCGGAAATGTCGAATCCGTCCCAGTGGTGTCCATCCCTAATACAGGCGCGCACCTCGGTCAGACTCGCGTTGCCAACACACGCCCCAGTGGCTTGCATCACCCGGTGAAACACGATCTCCACCCAGAAATACCATACGGCAGTCCCAACAAGGAGAACTCTTACCAACCCTCTGACTACTTGGCCAGCATCAACGGGACTTTGAAGACTACTGAACACAATGAAAGATGTATGGATGGCCATAGTCCAGCCCCACGCCAGCTTGACGAAATACTGGTTCAAAAAATTGTGCTTATCTGAGAAATACGAACCCCGGGCTGGTGGATAGAATTCGTACATAAGCGATCCCATTGTCACCGCAACGCTGAAGAATTTTACCAGGTTGACAGCGCGAATGTTGCTGAATTTATTCAATGCAACGTCCAGAACCGAGTCATGGAGAACCACGGGGTTCGTTTCCGTTCCGTCTGGTGAATTTGAAACCATTCTTCGACGGATTTTAGGCAACGGACTTTCGGTTGGTCTCTCCGTCATTTTGTCCATAGGCTGGCTGCAGTAGACACTGTACTGAATGGACGTACATGCTGGAAGGACGCCACCTACAGTCTAATAAAAACCATCTTGTATTGCCGGCTAGGCTATGAACCCAGGGGATGTGTAGCAAGCGGTGCCGAGGAGAGAACCAGAGCTTAATTCTTAGGAGGGGGGGGGTTGATTTTTTTTATGTATGCTTCTGTGGCGTGAGGTCGCATTTGGTTTTCTTTTTTTTTTTACAATTTTGGAAGCAAGGGCAACAAAATGGACCAAAAAATTGCCTTTCTTTAAAAAAACGGCTTTTTTTTGGAAGGGCATGGCCTGTTGCCCCTGTTCACCCTTGAAACGCCCTTGAAAGAGGCAAATGTTTCTTCAAGCCACACGTCATGAAACGAGAAAATATTCAAACTTGAAAATGGTATCTTTAGAGCCACTAAAGAAAAGCTACAAAAAGTACGGGAGTGAAAGAGGCAGATGTCTCACAAAACAAACACTCCAACTTTCTGGCTTTGGTTTTTATTGACAACTTCTAATCTTCCCTGAACTTGGCAAACATATGAGATGATAGGGGTAATTCAGAGAGCTTAATGCTAATTCTTACCTTTAATTAGGCAAGTTTCACTTGCATGTTAAACTTTTGGGGTTGAAGGTACAAAATTGGCAGAAAACATTAATGAGCACATCGTACAAGCCCAGTGTCACTGGACTCAATATCCTACAGCCATGCGCATCTAATAATAGACAATTCCCAAATGTTAATGAAATATGAATTAATGTAAAGTGCAACAATATTTCAAGAAAATCACAAGAAAATTTGTCCTGATTGAAAGTTAATGATATAGGACCCTGTGTATTTTCAACATTTTCATAAAATAATTTAGCTTTTTTATATGTCCATTCAAACATCAAATTTGATAAATGTATTAAAATTACCTCTGAATATTACTACATGCTCTTCTCTTTCAACTCACTCTGTTTTTATCTTTTGATATGAAAAAACACGCAGTTCTTGCAGAATAATAAATTCTTCGGCCCAAAGGTTTGTGCATGGTGATTACCTTTTCAACAAGAAAATTATCATTGTAAATACAAGATGAACCAAATATTAAATGATTGTTTAAGACATCAAGCCTATTTGGCTTTAAAGAAATGTGGGTGACCATCTGTTTGACAGTTAATTTTACAATGTACATGTGTTAAACTGTTTTTCGTTGTGTGCTCGGAAGAAGGTCATAAGCGCTTACAACCTTTTGCCGGGAAGCATAATTAATCCAAAAAAATTTTCCCGGCAAAAGGACTTATGTATGCAACTGTTTTATTCTAACAAAATATAAAGATTTCTTTGCAAATAGGTCCAAAACAATTTCCGAAGTCGTTTGATAAGTTGTTCAGAGGTTGCTTTTTGCACAGCCTGTGTTGATTTTGTAGTTAACTTTGTATTTTTACTAAATAAAGAGTGTTTTTCTTACGTCCTTTTACCGGAAACATTTTTTCTACTGTGAACATGCTTCCGGGCAAAGAGCGTAAGTGCGCTTACGACCTTTTGCCGGGCACACGACATAGTTGCTTCTTATTGCAATCTTTACATCAAACATCCCTTCCTTATTTCAGCACACTGTTGCAATACTGTTTGTTAATATATTCAACAACAAACACCCTTTATGCACTTCAAGTTATGCTTGCCTTACCAAATGACCAACCATACCAACGGCAGTGGAATGATTTCCAAAGTGGGGGGGCTATTTGTGAGACCATCGGGCATCAGCCATTAAAGGACCTGTCAGATGGGAGGAGGTACCTCTAGGTAAAAAAATTGGGGGGGGGGGCAGCAGTAGCCATCTGCCTCCCCTCACTTCCACTGCCAATGCCTACCATTGTACCAATGCACAAGGTGATTGATAAAAAAGAGTGATTTGACCATTTACTTGACTGACTGACGGACTGACTGATTTGATTTGATTGACAAACTCCACTCACTTATTGATGAATCCACTGAAATCTGACAGAGTGACTGACCTGGCTAATTCATTGATCAAATAATTAATTCCTTGAAAGACTACTAATTTGATCCATCATTTACCAACTGACTCAGCAGTGAGATTGGAGGAAAATGAAATGTCCAGGAAATTATCATCAGAGGTTTTGAAGGCTCCACAGAAGCATATGGTATGTCGTAGACATTTCCATTTGCCTGTGGCACCTTTCATTTATACCAGTACCAATTTGTTGTCTTCTATATCAACTTTTCCTGACTCAGGAATTTCCACATTCCTGAAATCAGGACAAATCCTGATGAATCTCACCCCTGCTGACAATAACAACCCTCGTGAAATAATTAAAATGTACTACAGAAAGGTTAAACACACAAAGCCAACGTTTGTGTAATGCACAGCAAAAGCAACCCACCTCAAGTAAGTAAAACAAAAAAATCTTAAAATACTCTCTTCACACTTTAAATAAATATTCCAATATTACTTGAATGTATATATGATATACAGAATAAAGCCAAAAATTCTTAGTAAATTATTTCTGTTCATGGAGCCAGATGAGACACATTTCTGGATGGGGTGCCGAGTAACAATATGTTTGTGGGTACTAAAAGTACTCCTTTGAAGGTATGACCAAACTCCTGACCCTCATAATTTAAACATGAGGATAAAATCCAGACATAAAATCACTGGAATAACCCTGTGACATGTAGACATAATCTGTATTGAAGAAGGATGTATTTCTAAATGGCAGGGCAAATTTAAACATACGTGTACACAAGTCAGTACATACACAAGTCTCCTGCACCAAATAATAATGTCTAATGCTGTTTCACATATTATGCTCCCTCTTTTACACTGCAAGTGTTACACCCTCCAGTGCATGACAGTGCCCTATAAGAAACATTATGGTACTCATTATAACGAAAGTATATCAATTACTTCTAATTTTGGTTTACAGCCTTCCAAACGCAAGATCTAAGCAAGAAGTACCTACGTGGCAGGAAACCTTCATGCAAAATCATCTTTATCCAAACTCAAGTGAAAATATTCCGCCCAATTACACTGTATCTCTCATTCTTTCCTTTAAAGATGCTTACACGTATTTCAGTTTAACAGCTGTATTGATACCACAAAATAAAACATACTTTGTCTTCACAAGCATAAATTCTGGTGAACCAATGAAGAATCTCTTTTTACAAACAAAAAATCACTTGAGTATTGAATACTTCAATGGATAAATATAGTTCCTGTGACACTATTATATAAACCTTTTTTAAAACAAAAATCAATCACTGACCTAATTTTACTCCAAAAATTCCAGTCTCTACATAAGGGAACAAAAACTGCTGCAACCACATGTATCAGGAATGCTGTTTTCAAATTCAAATGAAATATTTTAAGCACTGCAAACTCCTCAAATGGCGACATTTAAATACCATGCCAAATGGTGTAAAACAGGAAGAAACACAGACTATCCCCAAAAACATTTCGGAAAGGACGCAAACAAGTAATAAAGATGAAGAACAGCAAGGCTTGATCAACAAAATGAAGAATAAATATAACAACCATGCTACTAAAAAATTCAAAATGCTTCATTGGAAAGATAAAGTACATGTAATTGTTTTGCACTGTGTGACACACCCAACAAACCTTGGAAAGTCTGATCATATTGCAACTTTGTATTTATCCTAGGTGCAATGACTTACGTGTAATTCCTAAATACCCAATGTGATAGTTTAGCCATTCCTACTGGTCGAGAGCCTCTCATGTGGCTGGTCTTAAACAGTTGGTAAAACACAGATACCGGTCTTAAACTGATGTTTAAGACTGCCTCAGGGCATTAGATGCATCCATCATCCATTCTCCAGAGCCGGTCTTAAACAAATGCAGCCAAGCACGTATTTATTTCCTTTTTCATAAGTTCCTCAGACAGTCTCCCTATTTAACAACTTGCAACTCAACCATGTATTAACATTGATAATACCCACTCAGAAGTGAAAATGCCTGCTGCGTAAATCACACACTGGCACCTGGATACAAGACAGTTTAATCAATTCTGATTGGTTATGAAGTCTGTGTGCACGTGGCTCACCACACACCCACCAATTGGACAATTTACACAAGGAATATCAGAATATTCCATAAAATGGACGGGGAAGCTCAGGAAAATAAAAGTAAAATTCTAGAACAAAATCACTGGAATTCCATCATATATTGACTTCTTTTGACTCTCTGACTAAGAGGGTATTTACAAATGGGAATAAATATGTGCTTGGCCGGTCTAAACTAACGCTTAAGACCAGCTCAGGAGACTGAATGCTGATAGCCAGTCTTAAATACACGTTTAAGACCGGCCATGCACATATTTATTCTCTCATTAATAACTTTTATAAAAAGCTTTTGGTATTCAGTTGAAAGATTCTTGTATTGGTCTTCCATTCCTTTTTTTGAAACAAAAAATGAACTGTGAGCTTAGCATTTGGATGTCTGTTCAAACTCTTGCCAGGATATACAAGTATATGAGCAACACCAACAGAGAGCTGTTAGTCGAGTATGCATGCTGAAACCTTCTCTATGTTTCAGCACAAATTTCAACCAAATAAAGCACCTGACGCAATATTTGCTTTTGCTCATGTTAACAGATCAACTTTCACTTTCTCTCCTCAAGGAAACTCATCTCACAAAAATAGAAATATAAGTTGAGTTGTGGGGCTACATGATAACTATACATATCTTTTCCAAGCACAGGAAATTTAAACTGTTTCTTGCAGTTTGAAAGGTCATCCTCCTAATGTTCTGCATTACTACTTAACTCCATTTCCCTGCACTTTTCCGCGATAGTGCCTTGCACAAAAATCTTTGATCCGGTCCATGGCAATCACTGTTTTTTCTTTGGGCAGAGATGTGACGATCCTCACAAAGTTTGGGTACTCAAAACACTGGGGAAGACAACCAAAAACATGTCAGGAAAGGAAGAGGAAGTTGATTCATTGTGTCAGACAAGAAATAGGTTTTTGTGTCAACTGTCAACTGAGAATGGATTGTGGCAGCATAAATTAGGCCTTGTTGTATACAGTAGTTCTTGGCATATTGTACTGATCTAGATTGTCTCAAGGACTAGACTTTGTACAGCAAACATTGATTAAGTACAGAGATCTGGCAATTAATTATTGATAAAATTGCTGGATGTTAACCAGCATCAGTGGTTGTCACTGCCTTCGATAAGCATAACACCAATGGAAACAATGTATCCAAGTAAAGGACCTTTTCACTAATAAATTCATAATTATGCAGACATGCACACAACTGGCCTTGGGGGAGTGTGCGCAAGCCACTGAAAATGTACAACGGGTGCAATTTTGATCAATCTCTTTGAGGTTTTCTGGCTTTGTTCATTTTTTTCTTCAGAAATCCCATTAAATCATTTTTGCTATAAAACAGCACGAAAGGCGACCGGCTTACATACGGCAATCTCGTGCGCATGCGAAAAATTGCACTTGTAAAGTCTCTTTACAGGGCACCACAAATCCCGCTTAGATTAGAAACTGAGAAAAAATGATTTAATGAGATTTTCTGAAGAAAAAACTGAACAAAGCCGGAAAAACTGAGAAAAAAATGACCACAATCGCACCCCTGTACGTTTTCAATGGCCTCTTCACACTTCTTGCCACCAAGGGCATTTGTGCGCATGCGTGCATAATTATGAATTTATGAGTGAAAATGTCTATTTGAGCAGGCTTTGGAAATAAAAACTTGCCATGACCAATGGGTAGCAGAATGAAAATATCATTGTCTTTTGAAAAAAAGCCTGTTTTGGTCTTCCATGATCCAGGCAGTACTGAGACTAACATGTTCAGAGAGCTCTGACGAAACATCTCACCCTGTGTTCATATCCTATTGCTCTGCTCAGGATGTGATGAATTTAAAGGTAGCCTTGTTATCATTTCTAAGCAAGAGACCCTCACACTTTTCTAAAGCTTCCTTTGATTGATTTGCACACAGTGCTGCATAATTTTGCAGTGCACATATATTTATCAAATGTACCCTGTTCAATAAACGACAATTCAAACTTTGACGTATATGTCAACACCTGCTGATAAGTTCCTTAGTCTTATCTCTGAAGAATCCCCCCATCTGGCACATTCTAACTGATTCACATCCTGTCGGATAATGTGCAGGGGCAAACATTGTCAAAGAAGGTTTACCCAAGTCAAGGCAAATACCACAGATGAGGAGCAATCAGACAAACCTTTCCAGGGAGACAGAAGACAGATTCCTCCTCCACCAGCCTGGTCACAAACTCCATGTCACTGCTGAAGCCATCAAACTTATCCATGTCTATACCGAACTGCAAGATACAAATACATAAATTGGACAGAAATAAAGTTTGATCTGTGGACAGGCAAAAAGAGGTAGGCCCTATCCCTTCCCCAGTAAGGTGCATTCGGAATGAAACTGGAGAAACTAAACAGCGTGTTCTGGTAACTGAGATTTTGATTGTAACCATAATCTGAAAGGCCAGCACGCTGAAATGCCAAGAGGTACACAGCAAGTATCTACAACGGTGCATTGATTCAAACACTTAATACCTACTCAGTCGATAGGGCCTACGTAACTGAGGCTTGACTCTAAAACACCAAGCACTATAGTATCAACTGGGACTCTAACAAGGACCACACTACACAGTGCAACATGGGCAAATTGAGCAAACTTGACTAAGAGGTAGGATTAAATATGCAATTTTGCCTCATTTCCCATGTGCATATTTTACTGGGCCATCTTTACTTGTAAGACTCTGTAACTACATGTATATCACCTTATGTATGTCTCCAACTGTCCAAACTGGTAAGAATTTCCGTTTTTCAAGGTCATCCTCCCCAAATAATTCCTCAATCTTTTGACAATATAAAAGTAAGCCTTCCATAGGCTGCAAAGGTAATGTTGGACTTATACACACTTTAAAGTTTGAAATAGAAAGTTTAAAAAGTTTAGAAGTCTAAAAATTTTGTGAAAAGAAAATGTAGAGGCATCCTAATAGTAAGGACTGTCCTTTACTGAATAATGGTTACAATTGTGGTTGAGGGGCAGCCTTTTGGAGAGTGGCTGCACTGCTGGGAATCAAAAGCCCCACACACTGCATCACAGAACAGAGAACCAAAGCCATACTTTTTTTTATAATGATGTTGAACCACATTTTTATTAAAATTTCAAACATGCCAGAACCCACTGCTGCTTAACCATCTGTCTTTTACTCAAAAATGTTCCACATTGCATGACCAAGAATGTGCCGATAAAACTCACCCCAAAGGAGAGAAAAAAAAAGTTCAGCATTTCGGGGGAAAAAATTAAGAGCTAGAGAACTTTACCGCTGCACCTACCATGAAATACATGGCTCCACATGGCATGACCGGAAACAGACCGGGAGTATGTGACAGAGCGTCATAAATCATCTCTGCATTTTCCTGTACAGGGTGAAAATTGTCCATAATTTAAACATCAATTAAAAAACAACATTTCCATGACGGCGGAAAAAAGCCAACATGCATGATTTATTGCCAGCTTTTTAATGAGGGCAAGTCCATTCAGTGAAAGCTGATCATTTGGGGACCTCACAACGAAGAAAACAATAAGGAAATGTTCAGTTTTAGAGGTGGGAGGAAAATCCCAGATAAATTTATCCTGGCAATTTAAACGCACAGATTCAGTTAGGGACTGAAAACCAATGCATGTACAGACATCAAAACGCAGTGTTGGATATTTTCCAAACTGTGTGTCCCTTCTGTCTGTAACTAAATATATTTACAGCACAAGAATGAAAGGAAACACCAGAGACTTTCTACTTACTTCTCAAAAGTCTGCATGTATTTTCATAAATTTACAAGTATTTACACTATCTCGTCAGTGGGTGATTTTCGGCCGATCAAAGCATGCATGTACATAAGTCTCCACTTTCTTTCTTATTTGTCATTTACACGTATGTCACCTAAAGGCAATTATTACGCTGACTTCATACAAAACTAATATAGAGCTCTCTTTATTACAATTTTAAGTTCTATAATTCTCTGTAGTAAGGGATCTAGATGCAATAAGGATATAGGGACCGCAACTGGTTAGAATCTGGCACGATCCTTGGAAACACCACAGCCTCCCGGGTGTCCTACGGCCTCTTTGGTTAGCTCTGGGTTGGATCCTCCTTGGTCTGAGTAGCTTGAGCCCCAATAAATCTCAGTATCTTGGGTTTGGTCCCTCAAATTCAAGCCATAGTTGTTTGGTTGACAGAACTGCTGAATTTCTTTCTTTGGTGTGTTTTACAGCCAAAATGCTCATAAAATATCTTGATAAATCAAGCACTCATTTTGAAGTGCAGTCTTTCGATAGATCGCTGATAACAAAGTCCGCTGTAGCTTGCTATGCCTGGTGGCTGAAATTCATGCGATCATACAGCAAACACACACGTCTCTCTTCTGTCGAGATCTGATCTGGTCTGCCCTACCTCGATTCATCCAACACCCTCACACATCCAAATCACACATGTTTCCTTCCAGTTGGCAGAACAACTCCTTACCAACTTTTGTACAGCACCTGGATTTGTAATTCTACTCAGTGTTGTCACCCTTGATTTACACAACCATGGCTATTATCAATGCTGCTGCGAGAGACAAAACAAACCGCAAGGCTACCGAAAAGCTACTGACTACCAAAAAGCTGCTGGCTGCAAGGACTATTACATAACGCGCATCCGGAGTAACAAAAGACTAGTTCCAAAGTGAGGCAGGTAGTACTATTGGTGGAAACTTCTGAGCTTAACCATCTCCAAGAAAGGGGATATACGACAAACTTTTACACGCAGTAACTATTTAAAAAGACACTTCTTCAACTATGAAGACACGTATCCATTTATTGGGGGATTCCCCTCCTTTAGCATTGCTGGACTTGTCCAGGCCTTACTATCTCTGAAATAAAAACAGGAAATGTGACTAAACTGGGATCGCTGTCGCCCAGTATAATGCCATGGTCTGCTTTCAAGGTATCTTGATCAACGCCGTCAGATTGAGAACTTCATTCAATTCCAAAAAGGAATCCAATTGAACTTGACCTCCACTGAATAGGCTAGGGTAAAGGGTTCACTTCCTGGCTGATGAGGAGACTTCCTCTAGCCTCAGCATTTGGCCAGTAGTTTTCCATTAGGGTTCATTCCACTGCCTAAATGATCACATTTACAACGTGTGGGAACCAGGACTTATGGGGACCAGTGAAAAAAAATTAATATGTGTGTGCTGAATGGTTTGAGTAGGCCGACATCCTGGAACATTAAAGTTCATAAGCACCCCGCCCCACAAATGGTATACGAAATGAAAATTCAAGTGCTGCGAAGGGTACAAAATTTGGGAGGGGGGTTTTTATTGAAGGATACAATGCATACATGTTGTTTTTAGCCCTCTAATGATTAAAAGCAATACTTATCCACAGTGTTACAAGACAAACAATAAAACAGAGCCCTAGCTGGTTATCCGATAAAGATGTTTTGACTTCATCAGACTGGTACTGAAACTATGCTGCTTGTGTGGAGTGCAAGATAACACTTGTGAAGGTACTAAGAAATATCAACTCAGGCTGGGCCATTCTTTGCACCCAGCTTGTGATCACTTGTGCATGTGTGTCAAATAAACAAGACATAGGCCTACTGTGACCCACTGATATCAGGTATGCAGATTAAAGAAGAAACTGGAGCACAAAGACCGTCAGAAAATGCAAAAAAAGTTTCTCCCTTGGAGTAGATGCTTTTATTTTGGCCATTTGTGGCCTTTGTTAGAGTTAAGGCTCAAATTTGGGGTGTTTTACACCCTTTTGCAAGACAAATGAACTCATCTCATTATTCAAAAACAAAATTTTGGGGGTTAATTTTTGGGGACAGCCATATCCCCTCCCTAAATCCACCCTAGGAAGTCCAGCTTTCTAAGGGACTGTGGCCATGGTATCTTTGTTATTTTAAAAAGTTGTCATTTTCGGCCAAAAAACCCTGCACCTGGGACAAGTCAGTAGTGGAATAACAAATGGTTAAGATGGAAAGAAGAATTATGGGCAGAACCAATTGCAATTTTGGAGCCATTCTCTCTCACCTGGAACACTTTCATACTTTTGGTGTAAAACTCCTTGGGAGTGTCTGAGAAGATCTTAGGTAGTGCAGCCTGGATGAGAGTGCAAGGACCAAGGATACGTGTGGCCAGGTTCATCAGACCCTGCCGAACCTACAAACATGGCAAACAAGCAAACGGCATCATTCAACATACTCCATCAGAAGCATCACTGATAAATCTCATGGAGTTGGGAAATTCAATATTGGGTAGTTTATGTAGTTTTTGCAGAAAGTGTCAAACCTGGAAGGATTTTCATGACAGTTCTGGTCATGCTGGATGATATATTATTGTGATCTGCCAATCTACATTCATGGGGCTGACTGCTTAAAAGCCATCAAAGTATTCCCCCGAGGCTCTAGCAGTGGACGTGTTAATGTCGTAAAGTCCCATTGGTGTCTGGCAAGACTCCGAAGAAACAGTCATTTCCTGAAGTTGAACTTGGCAGCTGTACACAGCCTTTGTTGAGCAACTGCAGCTATGTGGTTGGGACTTGGATCATTGCAAAAGAAGTTATACAGTGAGGAAAAAATATCAAACGTCCAGTACTTGCAGTGTTTAGTATGATTCTAAACACTGGCTGATATATGTGAGCCCTGCATCTTGACTTTTCCACACATGATGTTTTCTGAGCAAGAATCGTACCACTAACAAAAAGGTTAAGGCTCACAGTAAACTTCCATTTAGGTCTGCATCAAAATCAGCCTGTGAATGAATCCTCTGAGAGTTTATTTGGGAAATTTCACTGATTTGGGGCTTTTTCTTTTTCTCCCAGCCAGAGACTCACCTCATCCTTGAAGGCATCCGTGGGGTCATGGATCAGGATCCAGCCTAACCTCCAGCCTGGGACAAGATACCTGAAACCATGACAACCACAGGCTCATTAGGTTAAACCATAAACAAAACCAAGGATGTTTGATTTTGACCATTCCTGAAGCATGTATATAGCCTCAGCTTGGGACAGACTTTAGCTGACTTCAAACCTCCATTCATAAATACCTCAGACAGTCTCCCAATTCAAAGAAGTGCAACTTTGATAATGCCCGCTGAGAGGTGACAATGCCAACTGCATAAATCACAAGACAGTTTAATCTATCCTGATTGGTCGAGAGTGTGTGCAGCGGCTTGCCAATGACACGCATGCCAATTGGACAATTTGAATGGGGAATATTCCATAAAATGGACAGGGGCGTTCAGGAAAATGAAAGTAAAACTCTACAACAAAATCGCTGGAAATCCATCACATGTTGACTTCTTTTGACTGACTAAAAAGGTATGAATAGGAACTACTACATGTATGAGCTTGGCTGGTCTTAAATGAATGATTAAGACAAGCTCAGGAGATTGAAGTCCTCATCTGTGGCTCGGGTTTTAGTCGCGTCCATTTAAGACACGTTTAAGACTGGCCAAGCGCGTATTCATTCAGAATAAATGCATCAATAATTGCAATTCTGAAATGATACAGCATCGTGGTACAAAAAATGTGAATCGTGATATTTGGGAAGGGGATAAATTATGATAAAAATAAAGTTATGTTTAATACAAATTTTAAATATAAATATATTTATGAATTATCCCCTTATCAATGCTGTTTCCACAACTTGAATGCTTAAACCTAGTGGCAAGGCTCTGATATTGTCTCTTAATCCTAAAGGAATCATCTGCAAACACAACTGAACTTTACAATGGAAAAGGATGACACTGAGCCAGTAGCAATTAAAACTGATGGTAACATCTGCTTTAACATGTAAAACAGTTCTTCATCCATGTGTCTATGAGAGAGCCACAGGTAAATGTACATCCATAAATGCACTGTGTAGCATTTGAAATGGCGCTAGATGTACATGTACGGCAACTTCTTACTAATGATTAATCACATAGATTAGTTCAACAAAAGTATTCATTCCACCCATGCAGTCCAATAAAACATTAAACACAGTTTACATTTTTGAATTTTTTACATTAGAATTTCAACATCATCTGCTAATGGTACACTGGGAAAAATATGAAATAAGTTAAAAACACCATTTAAATAGTAAACTGTAGATACAACATGTTACAAGGGACTCTGCCTAGCCTGGCTTTTAAAAATTTTTTTATGTATCATCCATCTTGTTTATTGAATCCATACGGTAAATAGGCCAAGTTCTGCCATCTGGATGAAACTTTATTCCATTTCTGTGCTACTTGAAATGAAAATAACCACTGCGAACACCAACAACAAATAAAGTTGACAACGGGATATTTGACAACAGATAATGCACACCTAAATTTAGCTCTGTGTGACCATTCCTCCATGGTGTGACTGATCACAGGTTTGATTGCTTATAAGTATATCTGCCTATTAATAGTCACATGATGTAACTACTGTGGGAGGTGGGAAAAGGATCAACTGATATCACTTCATGTATTTCATATTTTAGCACATTTCAAAGAGCTACCCAGCCCTTGAAATGAGAATTACACACAGGAAAGTTTGTTTATATTACATGCGAGGTTCAGTCCTATCATTTGGACTACAAGTTTGATAGTTTGGGACTTCAAAAACCGTAAAAGTCTCCAAACTAGAAATGACTAAAAAAAAGAGAGACTAAAACACACCAATGCAATATTTCTTGAATGCAATGCGAGTAAAGTGTGTCAAAAAATGACCCCCTTCTTCCTACATTCTTTCCTTGGTCAAACCATCAGACTACTGAAGAGCCCTCAATTCTCAGAAAGCTGGATGATGCACCAGTCTAGTCACATGATTCAGTTTGCAATCATTTGGATTTAATCTTGGGGGTAAAATTATTGGCAAAAATGTCTCCTTTAAATATGAACAAGAGCTAAGTCTCAGCTGGCAAGAGAGAGGGCATAAGCTTTGCATAGAATGAAATGTGGAAGAATGCTGTCGGCTAAAGAGAGCAGATAAAATAGCTCAGTCTGATTTGGTAACATCATGGTACTTGTTTCAATGGCTTCCATACCATGGGACATCAACGAGATTTTTTCAAGGATGGGGGTGGGATAAGGAAGGTCAGACTTTTTTTTTGGGGGGGGGGAGGAAAGCATTCTGCATCAAACTGATAAACCATTAACACTATGGGGCAATTCTGAGGTATTTTCAAGCATATTGGTGATTTGCATCTCCTTTCCTTGCTTTTATTTCATTTCTCTCATTTTTCTGTTCCTTTTTTCCCGTTAGTTCATTTTGAATTTACTTTAAGGGGCAAGTGTCCCCACTACCCCCCCTCCCACGACAACCATGCCCCACACCTTTGCACTGACGTGAGTTAATGCTTCACCTTTTGGCAAGTCCACCGCACGTCAGTACTGGGACACTCTTGGCAACAGAGGCAACCGGATGGAAAGAGTGGCCTGGAAACACCATCTCAGCATAGATCTCATCAGCCAGGATGGGCAGCTGATATTTCTCAGCAACTGGCAAACAATCGAGAAGTACATGTTTAGTTCAGTTCACATCAGTTCAAATCTTTTATTTTTACCAACATATACGTGACGGCAAAATGTTCTTTTTTCAGTGGCTACAATGTATTTATTCACTCAGAATATAAAATAAAAAAGGACTGGTTACAGTAGCCAAAAAATCCTCAAGAAACTTCCTACATATCAACTGAGGCAAAGAGGAAAACGCATACATGTACCATAGGTATCTACAAGGCTAGGATCAATATGATAACGTGGCAAGATGAGCCACGTGGACCAGAAGACAGTGCCACAGAAAATGGCCTGCAGTTTACCTCATTGATTATTCATGAGGTTTGGTAGAGTCTCTCCACCTGTTGCATGTGCATATAAAGAGCTTAATCTACTGGGGAAAAAATTTCTGAATACCAAAAAGGTGAAGCATGCAAGGGAATAGAAATACACTAAAAATATGAAAAAAAATCATGTCACACCTATTTGGGCAGATAGAATTATGGATTATATTTAACAGTGTATGGATGGTGGTCTCCAAGAAGCAAGAGCTTGTCGAGTGAAGACCCCACTCTGTAAGGTTATTAGTAACAAGAAGTGTTATGATTACATGTAAATCAAAGGGACTCCAATAAACATTGAAAGTGTGTGATTGTAATAATGAAACATTTGATTCACAGCTGCACTGGGCCCATGGCATGCCAAAGGAATGAGACGAAGGGAAGGCAAGGTCTACTCAAGACCTCCAGGTAGCTTTCAAATGCATTAATTCAAAACCAGTCAATCACACTTTTTATTCCATTCATAAACGTGTAAAAATCTCTTTCCTCTTAAAGTGCAATCAGTGCCCAAAAGTACAATTTCTGCAACGATTTGTCAATTTTTACCTCATGTTTTGTGAAATATCAATCTAGACAAACGTACATGTGCCTGCCAGGCAAAACACTAAAATCTCCACACATGGAAATCAGGGCATGGCATGCAGTGCGTGATGAGATGCAGACCACAGCAGTGCCAGTGTAGAGAGAACTTTTAACCCTATGAATGACAGGCTCATTTGCTGTATTGTGCATGCCCATCTTCGGTAGTTCTAGGTAGATTTAGTGTTTAGCTTTAGGTCTTAGACAGTTTTATCATTTGTTGAAAACCATACGTGATGGGTCTTGAGCAATAGGAATGCCTGACCTGTCAAGGCATAAAAGCAACTCCTCGTGATGAACAGTGGTATTGTGATAAAGTGACAAACTTACACAAATACATGTATTTACACATATTGTTCAAAGCACTCAGTTGATAGGTGCAAGGTTCAAACATTTTATGGAAACTGGCAGAGAGTACACAGAATTCAACGAAGAAACAGCAGCAACTGAATACTACAATGTGCATGATGTTCTTGTCTTGTCTTCTTAAATGAACATGTTGAGAGAAACACTTACTCCTGCAGATATCTTCAAGATGTTCCTTCGTGAAGACTCCCCCGCACGGGTTGGAGGGGCTGTTGATTACGATGCAAGCTGTCTTGTCATCGATCAAGGACTCCATGTGCTCTAAATCTGCCTCCCAAGACTTCTCCGGCTGCAAAGAGAGCATGCACAGACAAGCGTAATATTTACACGTACACAGCAAAGCAGCTGTGTACCTCGGGTTGCTAGTTTGACTCTAGGTGAAAATAGTACGTGTCAAAATATCAAACCACATAATAATGACTGTTTTTCTCATCAGACTCTGATCTACAGTAATGTAACTCCATAATGCTGCTCTAAGCAATAATTTCATGCACCATTATATGTATCTCCACATGAGCAACATTGAAGCAGCTAATCATCTGTACTGCGGCCAATTGCCTGTTGTAAAAGTGTTCATTCAGTGAGTGTTTGACACAAAAAAATGCATTGTTTGTTCAAAGACATGGGTGCGTAGTATTCATAAATGCTTGGCTGTTAAGACATGAGGGAAGTGAACCAAAAATTACATGCACATTTAACATAGTGCAATGCCATGAACTTCACATACCAGCAGCTTATAACCCCTGGGTTCAAACTGGTAGGACCCAGCCAGAGTGCGATAGATGGAGAAACCAGGCAAGGGGACCAGCACATTGTCCCCAGGGTTGGCAAGCACCAGGAGAGCTATCTCTATGGCACCAGAACATCCGCAGGCCAGCACCACGTCCTTGGCAATAGAATGAGTGTGTAGTACGTGTATGTTAAATGTAATGTGCAACTGAACACATATCAAACAAAACCCTGTCTCAAATCAGAAGACAGACTGTACAAACAATATCAAGATTCAATTGACGTATGTACCCTAATCACCTAGGATGTACGTAAAATTAAGGGGATGTACAGTAAGTGTTCATCTGTTGTGAGAGAAGAACTTCTAAATCTACGATAAAGTCACTGCTCCAGTCAATTGTTTTTAATAAGTTTGAACATTTGACATATTTTTCAGAATCAAGTTTGGGGAGACTTAATTGGCACTGATTTCTTACTAGTAGAAGCACATGTAACAAGGCCATGTGATATACTCCCACTTCTTGCAACTGTAGCAAGGTATCACTAATTAGAAAGGAAACACTGCATGCCAGTTGAGGTCAAAGTATACAAGCCCTTCATAAAAAGCCGAGTTGTTATGGGGTCAACTGTTGACCATACATCCTTGCCTGGGATTAACTGGTTCCAACTGACCTACAGAGAAATGACATTCCAATGACCTGCAAGAACTGCAGGGTTGCTGTAGTGTGAGTGGATTTTCAGGGCTACATGTGGATGTACATGTAGTTTGTCACTGAGAAAGTATAATATTTCCATCAAAAAGTAAAACCAACTGTTTCCTCAAAAAACTTTTCCTGAAAATGGCACGTTTCAGTTTTACTATGTGTACTTGTACATGAATGTTGTTACCATAAAAAATTCACTCAAAGTGAAATGTAATTCCTTTATACAAAAGAGAATACTGAGATGAAACTGAAAGCATGCCCAATAAAAGTGCCGAAAGTTTCTCTTCAAAAAGAGCAACAAATTATTACAAAGTTTATGACAGACTGCTGGAATACGTACAAGCACAGCTGTGGTTTTATTGGGATCTGACATTTTGTGCAGTTAAAAATATGAGAAGAAATTATTAATTTACCTTTGACGTAAGTGGCGACTCTGGAATCGAGAATTGTTTGGCAACTGCGGCTCTGGCAAATTCCAGCCCTGGAAAAAGTACATTTAACATTCATAAGCTATGTTATTAAATTTAAGATAAAAATATGTACACCAATTGTGCGGCCTTTGCTGACACGCACGTACAAGGACATATTTGAATGTGCTACCTGCTGCCCTCTGCGCATTTTCACTCTCAGAGATCAGGCACTCTCAGAATGCTGCAGGGGGGTGGGACCCTGCCATCAAGGGCGGATGGCAAGGGTGGGAGGGGGCAAGGGGAACCATGCCCCCATATAACATATTTGGGGGAAAATAATGAAAGAGAGGCAATTTGTTTGGTTTTATTCCCTTTCCTTCCAAAAGCATGTACGTGTAAAAAGACCCCCAAATATAGCTGTATCAACCAGAAAGGTCACAAAAGGTTACTTAGAAACTCAAACTTTTTGGGTCTCAGCCAAACACAAGTTTAGTTCCCCCCCCCCAAAAAAAAATTAGTTCTGGATCTGCCCCTTGCCTGTCACGGACACCTCCTCTGCCTTTCCCCAACAGAGTTAGCGCAATGCTGGGTACACTGTGACAGTGGGAGTTCATTTCATTGGCAGATGAGGGGGGTACAGATGATGATGATGATCAAAAAGTCTAACTTTGCCTATTTCATTTCCCTATCCTTCCCAAGTTTAGCCTCAACCCTGAGAAAGGCCAGGAAAAATTTTGTAAAGAAATTCTCAAATCCCTCCCCCTCCCCAATGTGTGAGCGGGTTAGGTATCCTGCCTTTGTAACATGTACCGTGGCACTGCAACCCACTCTGTACAATCTTAATCTTCAGCAGTACTGCCAGAAAGGAGCAACAGATGTGTCACCTCAGCAGCATGCTGGTATAGATTGCAATATATGTGTGCAGCAGTTTTGTAAAAACCATTGCACATCTGTGCATATAAAACTTGATTAAACAAATGTATTAAAACTGAAATTTACGTTGTAATTTATTATTACAAGTGACTATTTTCCCCTAAAAGGTACCACTCCCTTATTCAGTACAATTGGAGTGACGGAAGCAACACCGCTTGCAAGAATGGAGAAGTATTGCCTCTATCGCTCCAGTTTACTGCAAAATAATGGTGTGGCAAAACAACAGCAGGACATCACAGGTGGAGGTTAATCTCAGATAGTGTGTACAGGTCTGTGTTTGTATTCAGCAAGTTTTTGATTTTAATATGCAGGGTTCCAGTAAAGTTTGTTGATTTTTACGATTACACACACATGCTGTATTTCCAATACTGAATACCAAAAAACAATGTTTAAGCAAAGGGAAGTCCAACAATGGTCTGAAAGTGCACACTGCACAGTTTCATAAATTCAGCAACTTTAGCTCAGAAAGCTTTGAAAGGAATGCATGCTTACAAAATAATAATAAACATGTCCACTTTGCCAAAAAATGGCTCTCAATTTACGAAGACTGCTAAGTCAAAAATACAATGTACAGTTTAATCCACTGGACAGATATGATTCCTGGAATACTGAGATGAAGTGATCTCCAGTCCATCATAAAAATGCTTCCTTCTTAGGAAAAATTCCATGTAATCAGTGTTTCAGTTAATAAAACATGCAGAAAAGGATATGTCAGACAGATGTTCAGGTTCGTCCTTTACCAATTCCTGTTTCTTTGTATAAAAAAAGATTATACTTCTGTCCTTACATTCACACATACATAAATTCATTCCATCAAGACAATGAAATGCTTTATTTACTACACTCAAATGTTTCTGTAGTTATTCCTCTTTATGCAAGTACCAGTATTTAAAATGATTATGAAAACATCAAATTATTTGCAGTACCTCGCCATGCTGTTAAATTAACATACTTTTTGTACTTGTATTTTTTGTTGAAGACCACACCTGGATGAATTTGTCTAACTTTCTTCTTCACTGAGGAGAAATGGCTCCCTAAGTCATCTTCGGAAACACACATTTCATTTTTTATAAACTATGTGTAAATGAAAAAAAATTTAACATCTGCGTGACACTGATCTCTTTTTGAGAACACGGATGAAGTGCATAAAAGAAGTACTCAGTAAGTAATCTGCTGCAATTGCTAACAATCTGTAGGCTATTAACAGGAAATGCATGGTTGCAACAGTTCATGCAAACCAACATCTGGCCCTAATTGCTCAATTTGTGTGTCGGGGT